TCTTTCTTTCTTTTCTTTTTCTTTCTTTCTTTCTTTCTTTCTTTCTTTCTTAATTTTCCCTTTTCCCTCTTTTTATTTTTTCCAATATTTCTTCTTTCTTTCTGTCTTTTCTTTATATTCAGTCTAAATTTCTCCGCCCCTTCCTTTCTCTATTTGATTCTGCCTTTCTTTTTCTTTCTTTTTTCTTTCTTTCTTTCTTTCTTTCTTTCTTTCTTTCTTTCTTTCTTAATGTTTCCCCTTTTCCTTTTTTTTTATTTCTTTTCTAATATTTCTTCTTTCTATCTGTCTTTTCTTCTATTCAGTCTATATTTCTCCGCCCCTTCCTTTTCTCTATTTGATTTCTTTCTTTCTTTCTTTCTTTCTTTCTTTCTTTCTTTCTTTCTTTCTTTCTTAATATTTCCTTTTCCTGTCTTTCATTTTATTCAGTCTATTTTTCTTTCAATGCTTCCTTTCACTGATTCATTCTTTTTTCTTTCTTTATCTCATTCTTTCTTTCTAATATTTCCTCTTACTTTTCATCTTTTTTTTTTCTTTCTTTCTTAATATATCCTCTTTCTTTCTTTCTTTCTTTCTTTCTTTCTTTCTTTCTTTCTTTCTTTCTATTTGTCTTACATTCCTTCCTTTCTCTATTTGATTCATTTTTTCTTTCTTCTTTTTTCTTTCTTTCTTTTTTTTCTTTTTTTCTATTACATCGATTTTCCCCCTAAATTTTTGTCTTATTTAATTATATTTATTAATTGTAAGCATATAAATTTATTTATTATATTCGCGAAACAATTACAAAAATATATCTGCGGTACTTATGAATGTTATTTCATTTACAACGACTCCCACTGTCTTCAGCTTGTCAAACTAGTCTGTATTAAACCTCTTTTTTCGGTAAACTGGGCAACAGATTTGCGAGCATATCGATATCAATGAATAACTGAAGCACGTTCATAATGAATGCTGCGTAAAGCTGGTTAAGTTAGTCTGCCTTTCAATACAAATTATTTTTTTCTAAAATGGTTGCCCATGCTGGGTATGACGATAAACTACATCCGCGTCCTGGGTAAGACGATAAACTACATCCGCGTCCTGGGTAAGACGATAAACTACATCCGCGTCCTGGGTAAGACGATAAACTACGTCCAACAACAAGGCCTCTGATCATGAGGTTTTGAGAAGCGTGGAACCACCTTTTAATTGCTGGTGTTCCCAGGTCCACTCTGACCTTGGGTGGTAGCACCTGTTGGGTTCCGAGCTATGGGCAAATAGTTAACTCCGAAACTGGGGTAAAAGCACTATGAAAGTATAAATATAGGTTTTAATACCAGAAATACTTTGTAAAAAAATTATTAACAACAATAAAATTTTGAAGAAAAAAATTATTTTGAAAAAATATTGCCAGGTATACATTTTTGCTGCTGGACGTAGTTTATCGTCTTACCCTGGACGCGGATGTAGTTTATCATCATACCCAGTACGGCACTACTCAGTCTTAATTGATCTAGCAAAAACAAGCTTGATAACCATTACACCCCCACCGAAGTGCTTCAGTAGTGTAAATTCATGTGCTTTACCGTCGAATGAAATTTGCACGTTGGGGACACTAGAATCAAGCAGATGCGGAAGTTTAAATATCTGAGAAGCGTCTTGACCGTAGACGCATTGTGATGGCTTAAAGCACATTCCAAAATCTGGGCAGAGTATTGCGAGACAGGAGGATTTCTTTGGTAACAAAGAAAAGAATATTGAGCTGTTACGTGACATCTGTCCTTCTTTACGGCAGCGAATGCTGGGCGATTTCCTTAAAGATGAAGAAAAGACTCGAGGCGACAGAGATGTTGTTCTGCAGATGGATGCTAAGGATATCATGGACTGAGCCTGTGAGCAACGATGAGGTCTTAGACAGGATGTAACAAGGAGGAGGCTTATAGCTAACATCAGAAAAAGGCAGCTGAAGTTTCTGAGTCACGTAATGAGAAAGGAAGGATTGGAAAATCTGATACTCACAGGGCGGATAGAGGGAAAGATGGACAATTGAAAGAAACTTCACCAATAGAATCAAGCGTTTTTATTTGTTATTGTTTAATTCATCTACGTGATTGTAGTTAAGGATATCATAGACCGAGTGTGTAAGCAACGATGAGGTCTTAGAGGGAATGCAAAACAAGGAGGGAGCTTTTAATTAACATCAGGAAGAGGCAGATGAAATTTCTCGGGAAGGAGAGCCTGCTGGAGGATCTGATACTCACAGGTTTAGAAGGGAAAAAAGAGACAAAGGAAAACATTGCATGACATACCTAGCGGGCTTGAGCAAGTGAATTACAGAACGTGGTCTGAGGGAGGAAGCAGAGGGAAGGAACTTGTTGGGAGTTGCAAGTGACAGAGGGAGATGGAGAGCCATGATCGCCTACATCCTGAAAGGACATGGCACATTAAAAAAAAAATAGTTAAAGTAAGTATCAAAAGTACTGAAAGCTAGGTAAGAAAAACAAAGGAAAGGTTTATTAAATAT